TGTATTTAACAGGTTGTTGGAACGACCTTTCTGACTGGCATCCGAGAAATGGCCAAAGGCCTATTCGCAAAGGTGTGTTACGGAGTTGTGGTCAGTGCAGTAGCTATTATGCTGCTTTTTTCTAGTATTGTCATACTGGTACTCTTACTCACGGCTATTGCACCTTTGCTACTTGTATTGACTTCTTATGCACTGTTGCTGAAACTTCTGACTATCATGGTATTTCTGCCGATGTTTCTAGTATGGATAATCGTCAGTGTCATTGTAATTTATATTGTTTTTCATTTGAAACGTTCACATATCATATAATGTTATCATACAATAACAATTTTCACATAACTTATATTATTATGGTATAAACTAATTGTATATACTCCAAGCAGCTGTACGCCACAGCCATGGTGCGTAACCCGTCTTAAACAACTTGGAACACAAACTACATTAAATTGTAAAATAAAATGATTTTGTACTTCACAAGTTTAATGGTTTGTTTTTTTATGCAAATATATTTTTTTAGTTTTATCGCATGTTATGCTTTTGCAGTGTGTGTCACAATATTCTTTCAGCTGTGCGGTAGTACGCGACGGCCTATGATCTTAAGATTGTCTTAAGATACGTCATAGTAATATTATTATAAGGAAATATTTTTTAGAGGATTATACGCTATCATCGCCGACACGACGACGTTGTGTTTTTTTTTCATGTCCTGATCGATTTTTCAAAAACAAATCGTTGTATACGTTAACCCGTCACCGGTCTTGTGCAAGTACTTATATACTTGGAACTATATACACAGGTCTACATACAAGTCTGCGCGGTGTCTGGCTGACAAAATATATTATGTATTATTGGATCACGTGTGCCGCGGTGTGCTCATCCGCCGTCAATCGTCGGTCAAGTCAATTATTTTTAAGACGGTATACTTACAAGTCAATCCGTCAAACGTCTTGCTGGAGGTCTCCGATTTCGATAAACGTCACTATATTGCCAACACGTGTTGTGATTCATAACCGCCTTGGGTAAACCGAAAAGTAGTGAGACCAGTGCCCTTTGGTCGTTTTAGTTGGTGCTGTAGTTTATTGAGGTACTGGTGTTTATTTTTTTAAATTTAACTCAATTATTCCAAAATTAGTTGATGACAGGCGAATTTTTTTTCATTTTTTCCCCTCAAAATGTCTACATAATAAGCAGTGTGACCGGTCGGAGTCCTATTTTGGTTTTGGCGCCCAATTTCAAAACACAAACGCAATAATCATAATAATTATCACTGTAGTGCACCGGTCGGATGACCGCGTACAAAACACCGTAAACGACCAACGTTTGTAACGGAAAACTAGGAGTAGGTTTTAATAAGTTGAACACTTTTTAGTTAATTGTAATATATATATATATATATATATATATATATATATATATAATAATTATAAGAAAAATATTATAGAGTAATTGGTTAATATTACAATAAGTAATCCAATACGTTAGCAATATAATAATGTTTAATAAATTTGGAGTTAACATAATAATAACTACGTAGTGCAATCACTACTCGATTGGTAATCGACTACTGACTACTCGACGACATTAGAAATTCGCCGTTTTACTACCCCATCCTGTATATTAATTTCATGTTATTTTCTAAAGAAAAATTGATTTTCTTACATTTAAATTGAAATAAATCGTATACTAGTACTGTGATAGAGAAAACAATAAATTTTACCTACATATATTACTTATTAGTTAAATATTACTAACGTGTATAGCTACTAGTAGTCGGCGGTTACCTGTTATTTAACAATAACCTTTTATGGAGATTTTAATAATAGTATAGCAGCAGTATCATGATGTTAAATGTTTACAAGATTTGATCTAGTCATAAAATAAAGTATTATCATTTATGACTTAATTATTATTAAAATTTATCTTAATAGTAATAGTACATAGTAATAAAAAAATGAAATATTTTTTACAAAATTAGAGCTACAAGTTGATAAACTAAAAAATTAAAACTAGCACGAAGCAGATTACATATCTTATATAAGATAATTTAAACAATCAAGCGTGAATCTCTTAAAATTAATAACAGTATAACAATATGCAAAACAATAGTTTTCCTTTAAAAAAATTGAGTAATAAAAAATACATTTTGGGGCGGTAAACTGCATAAAAACCAACACTTAATCTGAATCCAAAAAACAACAGTCCTCTTCATAATTTGCAGGTAGTTGGACCTTATATACTCATAGTTGACCTTCGGTAAGGTAATATAACCCAGGCGATAAAATAACGACAGTGATTTGTTATATTAGAATCATTAAGTGTCTTAATATGTACACGGATATGTTCTTTTCCCAATAAATCGTGTGTCTACTATAATCAGATACACGATTTAGTCGTCTGTGATATCATGTAATAAACACAATATTATGATAACGACCAATAAGCCCTAACCTAATCTAACACGGATAGACGTTACCAACTGATAGTTTTTAGTGTCTCCTCGTTTCTTCCATCTGGTACACCGTGTTTTTAGTAAAAAAAGTTGAATTTGTGTAAACTTTAAGTCAAAAGTGGTACTTGAGCACAAAACCTAATAGTATCATTCTGCATAGATATAAATAAAATTGTTTTAATGATTTGATCAATTTTTTTTAAAGATTTTAGGTGTTTTTGTTAAAATATACGAAGTCTGCGAAAACACAGTTTCCCGGCAATTAAAGAAAAACTGTATTGCCGAATTTTTTTCCCGTTTAATATGTTATGGGTACATATGAGTTCCAACTACTGCCAAATTTTCAACCCAAAATTTTTAAAATTGCCGCTTAAAACCCCGAAAAACAAAAAAAATTGTACCCCCCCTAGGGGGGTGGGAAATGGGTATAGTTTAAGTTTGACACAACTGACGTGTGCGGGCATACCAAATAATTATTTCTTATACATTTCAACTCGATCCGACTCTTTTTCTCGAAATTATAGCCAGTAAAAGTTCTAACTTAAAAACTCGTACGGTTTTTTTTTTGTTTTTTCAACTTTCGTCTGTGAAGAATTAAACTTTTTCAACTTTTACCCCCCCCCCCCCCCCAAAGTACCAACTAGATGAAAATTGCGATTTATAGAGTTGCTATTCGAAGGAATTGGTCCAGTATTAAAGAAGTTACAGTGTATACAGATAAAAAAAAAACACACATCAGAGTAAAACCAATACCTTCTCGCTTTGCATCGAAGCTAAAACATTTTTCTGGATTTTTGTGAAAAAGGCATTAAAAGGGGTCAAATTATATGTTTTTGGGGTCGGTGATTACGAATTTGTTATCAGTTCTCAATTTTAATCAGCCAGAAAGAACTTAAGTAAAAAAAAAAAAAAATTGAACTTTGTGTAAACTTAAAGTCAAAAGTGTTACTTGAGCACAAAACTCAATAGTATCATTCTGCATAGATATAAATAAAATTGTTTTAATGATTTGATCAATATTTTTTAAATATTTTAGGTGTTTTTGTTAAAATATACGAAATCTGCGAAAACACAGTTTTCCGGCTATTAAAAAAAAACTGTAGAGCCGAATTATTTTTCCGTTTAATATGTTATGGATACATATGAGTTCCAACTACTGGCAAATTTTCAACCCAAAATTTTTAAAATTGCCGCTTAAAACCCCGAAAAACAAAAAAAATTGTACCCCCCCTAGGGGGGTGGGAAATGGGTATAGTTTAAGTTTGACACAACTGACGTGTGCGGGCATACTAAATAAATATTTCTTATAAATTTCAACTCGATCCGACTCTTTTTCTCGAAGCTATAGCCAGTAAAAGTTCTAACTTAAAAACTCGTACGTTTTTTTTTTTTGTTTTTTCAACTTTCGCCTGTGAAAGGTTAAACTTTTTCAACTTTTACCCCCCCAAAGTACCAACTAGATGAAAATTGCGATTTATAGAGTTGCTATTCAAAGGAATTGGTCCAGTAATAAAGAAGTTACAGTGTATACAGATAAAAAAAAAACACACATCAGAGTAAAACCAATACCTTCTCGCTTTGCATCGAAGCTAAAAATTAGATGAAATTGCAACAAAATAAAAGTATAATACAATTTGTATATACAGTTTGTCAATGAATAATAAATAACGTGAAACTCTTTTATAAATAAAAATAAGTTCCTTAAAAATAGTTGAAATGGTGAATTTGTTAAACATAAAATTTATTATTTATTCAATATTCAAATAAAAAAAAATAAAATTATTATGATGTAAAAAACTTAATGTTTATGCAAAAACAAAAAACTGTCGGTTATCTTTAGCTTGCGTTAAATTAATCCAATATAATTAAGACATTAGTGCGCTTTGTGCTTTGGATTTAAATAATTATTTTATTTTATTAAGTATTCAAATTTTTATTTTTTGCTAGAATTGTATTTTTTAACTGTTGAAATATTTATTGTGCGATTTTATTGAATTACATATTAACTTTTTAATTATGAAATCAATGCATGTATATAATTTGTAGTTTTCAAGTTTTGTAGTTTTAATTTAAAGTTATTGTTATTATTAATTTAAATCATACCAAGTATTAAATACACTTTAATAGTAGTGCACAGGTGTGATGAGTGCATTTTTTTCCGGAGAAAATGAGTTATGTAGAATGGACATAATACACATAATAGAATATTCAGGGATGAAAAAAATACTTGTCAAATATATCAGAGCGAAAAATAATTGTTTTAGAAGAAAAATCATTTTAAAATACTAATCAAATATTATTATTTGTATATATATATATATTACCAATAATATATATATATATATAATAGCCTGACTAAAAATTACCGCTGCTGGAGAACCATTCATAGGTTCATTAAATACATAATAATGTTTGAAATTATAACAAAAAAAAAAATCATTCATCACACTTGTGCACTATGCCATTGATATTATTATGTTATATATATATATATTACATAATTTTAGTCATTTCAATTTAAACAAAAAAATAAAAATTCACCAACATCTTGGTCAGGCCTGTCGTACGCAATCTCTTGACTGTATCAAGTAGTTATTCTGAGCAGAGCTTGGCTTTTGTTAAAAAAACATCGATCTGTAATTACAACATTTAATTAACAATAAAAAATATGTAGTGTTTAACATATTTTATTTAAAAATTAAACTTATACTTTAACCTCATGTTATCAAAAGTAGCTTGCGAGTCTAAAACTCAAGTAAATTTATGAAAACTATTTTAATAATTTTGAGTAGTAAGCTTGTTGTTGTTGTATCAATCTATTAGTGTTAGTAACTGAAATAATAAAAAAATTCAAAAGTAAATACATTTATAAGTAAGTTACCCATGAACTTTGAATACATAATTCGGCGGTTAAAAGTCTATTGGGCTGTTAGTATAAGGGACATTTTTCATAGTTTTCAAAAGCATAAAAGTAAATGTATTTAACATTGTTCTATCCAGTTAACCAAAATAATATTAAAGGTACAAAAAAACTAAATACAAACCAACATGTTTGTGATATATATTTCATTTTTTATCAAGCCAATAATAATTATAATAGTCGGATGGTTTAAATGTTATTTGTCGTTAATGTCAGAACCATATATGTCCAACAATAGGTAAAATAATCTATCAACATTTTTTTGTGTTGTATGTATTGGGTTACGATTTTATAATTAACTATCGATTTAAATATATTGTACACACGGGCTCACGGTTACCTTAAAGTCGTAGTATTAATCCAGCCATGCTCGTTTACTACAATATTTTGCTGAATTTGAATGAGGTAGTAATTGCGGATAACAGTTCTTATGTGTTATCATATTTGTCGTATAATATTTTTATGTATTCTACGTAATACTCGAAGAGACAGCAGAGGGAAATTTAGCCTGAGAAGTTATTATCCAAGTTCATAGTTTAACAAAAAGTTATTATTTTCAAAGCACATTTTATGCTCTCATCAAACTATCAAACAACTTGTTCTTAATTGTGGCTTTAAAGATTCAACACAGTGAGCAAGTTATGCATAAGAACTTGATTCATAAAGCATTTCTCTGCTCTTAGGCAGAGTTACGGGAGATTTTAACCGTTTTTCTGTAGCATAAAAGTGATTGACAAAATTACTCATTGGAACTTCTGTTGGTTTGTTGGACGGTTTGATAATAAACATTTTCACTGTTGGCAGCTTGAATGAAGATTGCTTTCTAAAATAATTCTTGCTTCTTTTCTGGAGTTTTCGTTGACCAAGTGACTTTACTGGTGTACGTTTTGACGGTGATCTTTCATTAATATTTTCTGTAGGAAACTATGGTGGAGATAGCACAAAACACTAAAGAGCAAACAAAATTACTATAATAATAATTATTGATACACAATGACTTAAGGTCTTATAATCTTCAGTACTATCAAGAACAAAAATATTATTATCACACGCTAAAATTTGAAAGAATATATTTTGTGATAAGAGTATATTATCAGTGAACCCCGCTATTCCATAAAGTTCAAAAAGTATGAAATAAGGTTTAAATCTTTGTTCTAAGCTTTGTAGTTTTAACTTTTTTCAATAATACCTACATAATTTAGAGAACAATATTGGTAAACAAGTAAATATTTTTATTCGTATAAATTAAGTGTCAATATTAGATTAGGTCATATTTTGTTACACTCGGTAAACAGACACTTAAAATCAAAATCTTATGTATTTTACTTTAAAATAATTAAGTACCAATCTTAAACGCACAAATGTCACAGATGTAAATCTTTCACACTGTGCACAACGCTATGCTTTGCGACCGACTGCTCACTTACTATAGCGGCTTTTTGATGAGATAAGGCTAAGAAAGAAAATATATTACAATAGAAAACTTGCAGTCGTTCATATTATATAGAATGACATAGGTACTCGGGGACTTGTGTGGCCTTATGGCTTCTTTGCTTTTTCCATATAAACATTTTGTTTATGGTTAGTCGATAATTAATAATAATTCTAGAAATGAAAGTAGGATGTCAATGTGGCGGCGGCGGCGAAGACTCAGTATCTACTATCTTGCCGGTAGATGGCACCATTGGGAGTTTCCATTAAAATCACCAACATGCACCCTTGGAAATTCGGGTAAAGTTTACTGGAAATCTCATTAAAAGTAAATTTTTTGAATTCTGCGGCATTTCATCTACTCGCGGACTGGTCGAATGCTGGAAAAAAACGTTTGTCGGCCGTCAGTCCCTGTCGAATAACACAAGGTCATGGGGGAGTTCACTCGACGGGTCGACCGCACCCATCAGAGCATAAGTACTGATAATTGCCCGGCAATCGTCCAACTCCGGTTCCCTTTCAATACGAATAAATCTTTCGCCTTTTACTAAAGATTTCCGTGGAGGGGAGCACTCAAAGGAGTCTAGATGAATAATTTTTCTAATGCCCGACTTTCGAGTTGGGCTCATAATACCTAAAAACAGTAATTTTAATAAAACTTCATCGATTGTTCAATATGTCATAGCACTACTGGCCAGTGCAGTGACTGTCCGTCGATTATTGCTTACAACATGACACATTCCAGCTTTTCTGGGGCACTTGGATATCCTAATATAAAGTGTCCAAAAAATTTCTAGATAAGCTGTGAATTACATTTCAAAGAATGCAAATTCAAAAATAATTGTTTCGGATATTTCAGGTTTTTTTCATGATTTAATTGAAAAAGAAAAAAGTTCTTTGTAATATTAATTGTTTCATTTGGGTATTTAAAAAAGAAGTTCTTACTATATTTTTCTAGGTTCTTGGTATCCGTAAACAAGTACTGATAGGTGAAATCAACGGTAGAAGACCCAGAGGCCGCCCCTGCACATTAGAAAACAATATTTTTTGTGTTTTTTTATTTGAAGCTCAAAACAACACCTGGATACATAATGTGTAGCGAACCCGGTTGACGCGTATCAAAAATATGTCTATCATCGTCGTTGTTCACCGCGTACAGTATTTTCGACGTTTGTACATACCGCAATACAAATTTGATACCTCTCAATTTTCCTTTGTTCGGCTTTTATTAAATCGTCGGTGTGAAAAGACAAAGAAATTGCCAGAATTTGGCGAGATTTGCGGAGAATGCATGGAATATTGATGCCCCTTGACGTTTTGCGACAAATTAAAAAACGGATAGATTCTACCGTCAACTCGAGCTTAAGTGAACTCTGGGCCTCTGTTGGCTTCGAGTACGATGAGGTAAATGATAAAACCCTTGTTACGTACGAACCGTAACGAATTTCGAAAAAAAATTAATCAAATCCATACTATACGACGAATTATCTGTCTATACACCTATCTGTCTAAGAATAATTGAAAATCCAGCCAACATAGAACGCGAAACAATCCTCATCCAAAGCCGCAACAGTTATTCGCTTGATAAAATATTCAAATTGTCAAATACATTTTATAAAATTACAAAATCTGTACAGCTGTAAAATTCCATTTTATAATTATTAACTGACTTTTATAATTCAAATATACGTTTGAAAAAAAAACCCATACATTTCTAGTTATTTATGATAGAACAATATTTTGTATTGGTCAATCTTGATTTGTTTAATAATACATTGAACAAATACATAAACGTCGTGGCATATTAGGGTGGGAGATCTATATAAAGGATTTTAACAAAAAGTGATTAAATCACTTTCCAATTAACACTTTGATGCAAATCTGTGGATAGTAGGTTAAAACCAATCTAGTATAAAGCAAGCGCAATAAGAAAGTATTATCCGTAAGTGAGTAGTTGTAATAAATATGGTATAGTAAGTATAAAGTATGGTTTGGTAAGTTTGGAAATAAAATAATAAATATCAATAATAACAATTATTATTCGGAAAATTGTATACGTCATAGTTAAATTCTAGATCTACATTTTGTCTAATTTTCAGGCTAAAATCCCTAAAACTTGTAAAAGTGAAAGAAAGAAAAAAAATACTATCTGTTTTACGGGAAGGGGACTGTGATATTCGTTTGGGTTAGGTATATATCATTGAAACTAATTGGACTATTTTTAATAAAGTTATGGAGCGCTGTAAATCTAAGTTAAAAACGAATATTCGTGGTTGACGCCATCAGCCTAAATACATCAATATAATAAAAAAAAAAACATTTTTTTAAAACTAAAAAATACTCTCTGCTCGCTTCACATCGCATAAGACAAACAACAAGTCGTTTTTCGATTTATAACAAAAGTTTCCGTTTGACAGTGTAAAATTTTAATATTATATATTTTATCATATTATTAATTTTTTTTTTTTGAATTCACTGTAAAATCGACAATCGTAGAAAGGAACATATTCTTTGATTTGCAGCCGGGTTAAACTTAAAACTAAACTAAACATAAAAGTGACTTGATAATAGTATACAATTTACTTCATGACGTTAACTATTTTGTTAATATTTTATTTTTTTATTGCTATCCCTGTACTGAGTGAACCTACCTAGATAGGGTTTTTTTTTTATATTTTCTCAGACAATAGTCAACAATACTTGATTTGTAAAATTCGATTATTATATTTGTCAAGTTTTACTTTTGTAATGATTTTTATTTGTATTATTATAACCGACCGAGAATGTATATTTTATTGTTGGAAAAAAAATATTCCAATAAATGAAATAATTTGTAAATCAGATGTTCACTTTTCTTTATAATTGATATATTATTTCGAACTTGGTTTTTTTTTATTGACAATTAGAGTTATATTTTCGACCCGATAATATATAAAATGTTATCAAATAATATAATTTAATATTGAATTACATATTTTATAGGTACTATTTATATTGATTTCATATACACTTGATTTTATAGAAAAATTACACTTGGGGGGGGGGGGGATTTCATGCGGTCTGTTTTCAAGGAGTTTTGTATAGGCAATATTTAAGAAAAAAGTGGTTTTAACATATTTCGACCGTATCAATTAATATACCGGTTAATTTGAATGAGCTTCAAGTTATTATTTTTAATTTAAAACATTTTTTTCACGAGTAAAAGCCATTTTGGTTTCTCTTCGGCCAAAAATCCAGACAAAATATCGATTACTCAAAATGGACCAATTTCAATTCTGTTAAGAGATCTGTGCTCTTTGGCTACTTTGCCAAAAAAAATAATACAAAAAACTTTAATTTATTATTATTTGTTAAAATCAAAAAAATGCTCATGTTTTATCATTTTAGTAGGTAAAACATAAAAATAATTATGCGAGTCATGAAATAACCAATTACTATTTTTGTGTATTAATTGTGTATCTAAGTATAGTCTTAATTATGTAGGCATTTTAAGTAATCGTTATACTGTTGCAAACTTTCTCATTTCGGACGTATCTTACAACAATGAATCGATTCACATTTCACAAGAAATCGTTAGTTGATTGAAGTTCAAGACTAAATAGTTTCACTACTGCAGTTAGTATAATATCTGGGATATGTTTTGCGCCTCGTGTAAAATTAGTACCGGCAACAGATTTAACTCCATTTTAGCCTTATCATTAATGGCTAAGAGATCTATTGATAACGTCATTCACTAGTTCATTCCAACTTGAAATTTGAAATTTCTACTTTTAAGAAAATAAATCGACTAAGGCCTATATTGTATTCTGTTTATTTTTCTTTGTTAATCCTTAATCGTGTCTAGTTTCTACTGTACGGTATGTTATTATTTTGTTATTTATGATTGTGATGAGATATTTTTTTTCTCAGTCCGTCAACTCTCAGTATAGAAATTTAGATATATTTGTGTTCCTGCGTACTGATTAATCTGCAGATGTGATGAGTAATCTTAAAACATATTTGAATACCTAGAAATCTTTTCCAGAGACGACAAGATCATATTTTATAGTTTTGAACTTAAAAGTGTCCAGCATTCAATTATAAAATAAAATATCACCGACGAATTGTACTTAAGATAAAATAAACAAATGAAAAAAGTTGGTAGGTCGTCTCTTAGATAATGATGAATTTAAATTTGTTTACAGATTCCTTATCACAACAGTAGATATATCATCGAACCGTTTACCGTTGAAACAAAAGTACGTCTACATTTCTATGAACATTGTGTGTTAGATGGACCGAGACAGAATATATCATTTTACAGTTGCTTTTAGTTTAAAATTTATTACAAAGGAAAATATATTTTACTTATAGACAAACCAAATTAGTATTTGATATCGAGGAAAACAAATTGACCCATTCAATTGCATTTTCCATATCTATTATGTTTGTTCTATTTATAATATTTTGTTTTTTTAAGTCCGACTTAAGCAAATCAATTTCACTTATAAAATATTCATTCATTCGTTTTTTTATAGACTCGAAAGACATTTTTAATTAAATATAAATAACAATTTAAAAAGGCGCGCAATTCAAACGGGACTATACAGATAACAGAATAGTTGGCGCGAAAATAATTTTGGCCTTATCATTAACGGATAAGATATCCATTTATAACGTCATCCACTTGTTCATTCAACTTTGAAATTTCTACTTAGAAAATAAATCGACTACGGCTTATATTGTGTTCTGTTTTTTTCTTTGTCAATCCTTAATCGTATCTAGTTTCTACTATACAGTATGTTATTATTTTATTAAATACTTCTTATTTGATTGTGATGAGATATTTCCTTTCTTAGTCCGTCTAACTCAGTATAGGAATTTAGGTGTATTTGTGTTCCTGCGTACTGATCAATTTGCTGATGTGATGAGGAATCTTAAAACATATATGAATACCTAGAAATCTTTTCCAGAGACGACAAGATCATTTTATATCATTTTGAAGGAACTTAAAAGTGTCCAGCATTCAATTATAAAATAAAATATCACCAACGAATTGTACTCTAGAAAAAATAAACAAATGAAAAAAGTTTAATTTAAATTTGTTTACAGATTCCTTATCACATCAGTAGATACATTATCGAACCGTGAGCCGTTGGAACAAAAATACGTCTAAATTGCTATGAATATTGTGTGTTAGATGGACCGAGACAGAATATATCATTTTACAGTTGCCTTTAATTTGAAATTTATTACAAAGGAAAATATATTTTACTTATAGACAAACCAAATTGTTCAACATGTTTCCAAAGTACTCTCCACATAACATACCATTCAAAACTTTAAGTATTATGTATGAACATTTTCAAAACTTATATGGGCTGTTCCAGTAAGTTTTGATTTATGACATAAGCTAATTTCTAAAATAATTATTTTATTTTGTTAGACCTTTTTTTAAAAGAATTAAGGAGTAATAACATTATTTTGTAAAATTGTTATAGTTTATTAGGTACTGATTTTTTTCAAATTTCTAGTATACAATGTTGACACTAAAAAATCTCCCTAAATATGTTGAGACCTAAATTCAGTGTTCAAAAAACAAATTTAAATAATAAATGACACCTAAATGTTTACATACTTAATAAATTATACATCATAGGCCATAACAATACCATTATCTAAGGTTTTCGTTTATATTTATTAATAATAAAGATACATTTTTTTACAGAGAGCAAACCTTATGTGATGTTATGTTGATATGTGATGATGACGTTCAAATTTCAGCATATAAAGCAATTTTAGCATCTGCAAGCCCTATGCTCTTAGCAATGTTCAATGGTGGCTTCAGAGAAACCAAAGAAATCAGTATGCCTATTAAAGACATTGAGTCTGGTATTCTGAAATCAATTGTAACGTGTGCATATACATTTCAGATGGATATCAATAATAATAATATTGAAGTAATATAATATACAAAACAGATACCAAATTATTTTCATTGAACACATTTCTTGTTATAATTTTAATATTTTTTTGTATTTTAGAAACTATTGAAAGCTTCTGAATACTTTCAATTTAACTATGCTACGGATTTATGTTACAATTATGTTCAAAAAAACATAGATGTCACTAATTGTCTTAATTTTTTGAGCTTTGCTGAACCTACATCACAAAAAAGGCTATACACTTATTGTTTATTGTATTGTTTAGAACATTTTAAGTAAGTAGTAAAGATTGGAATTCGTTTGAGAACATTTTAATATGTACTACATTTTTGATTCCTAGAACAATTCTGGAAAATGAATCGCAGGTAATAGAATTATATGAATTAAATTTTGAAGATATTACTAAGCTCATATCAAATGATCATTTAGTGGTTGAATCTGAAGAAAAGGTACTTTGGCAAAATAAAAAAATACAATTTAATTTGATTATTTATAATTGCATTTATGAGATATTAATACTCCCAACTGAAAATTTAGTATCTTAAGTTTTCTAAAATTTTGAAAAAGTCAGAAAAATCTGTAAAGTAGATAAAAGTTGTTAAGGGTTTTAGATACACAAAGAAGTTTATTAGATCAACTTTTTTAATAATTTGTAAACTACAAATGTAAAGAAATGAGTTAATTATTTTTAGTTCACATTACTCTATTTAATATACGTTTGTCTCATCTTATTACCCACACTTGTTTTTTTTACAAAGATAGTGATGATTTATTTAAAAAATTGTGTATGATTTTACACATATGGTGTTAATATTTGTTTTAGATAATTGATTTCATTTTTGAATGGATAAAATATGATTTAGAAGAACGAAGTAAATATTTATCAAATTTACTGAATTATTTGAAGTTACCTTTAATTTCGAAAAATACGATACTACGAATATGTGATGAACCATTGATGAGAAGCCAACATGACTGTGAGTATTTAAACCGATGCCGATTCCACTATAATATTTAACATAAAATATTGTTTTTTTTACAATTCACATTTAAAATTATTTTCATAAAGTATATTAGTATCCTGTAATGAGTTTTTTTAATATTAGCTTAATATTTCTAGGTTTGATAGATATCATGAAAAATTACATATCTGTCGATGTTGATGAAAACATTACAAAAGCAACAAAGAGGACACCTCATTTGTATAAACCAAATGTATATAAATATTTTTCTTACAACTTATTTGTGGCATCCTACTTAGTAAAAATACTTTATATTAATCAATGTTGCGTTTTTTAGTATTTTGGAAATACAGTTATAATAAAATCAAACACACATGTTTCAATAATTTATTCCATATATTTTGATTGTTTTATAATATAAGGAAATATAGTTACGATATTATAAAATGTTATTATTTTTGTTAAACATATTTTTGCTGTGTGGGATATCTGTAGAATACTTTTTACATTTGTAGAAAATAAAATATTGAATAATTTGTTTTCAGATTATTTTCGCAATTAAAGGTCAATCAAATGGTGATGATTCTTATGTAATGTATATGGATCTGAGGTGCGAAAATGATCTTAATTGGAAATCATGTGATTATTCATTTTTTTGTCCACCCCGTCAGCGTGCACTTTGGCCGTTTCGGAAACTGGATTACTACTTGCAATTGGAGGTTATAATAAATTAAAGAAATGGAGTAATTGTGTTTATGAACTTGATCTGGCTACTACATCGAAAATGTAGATTCCTACAACGCCTTTGCATAGATCACGATTATATTTTTCTGTTTGCACCCAAGGAAATTATGTATATGTGGTGTGTATCAATTTAGGTTATTCATAACACAATATATCTGAGTCAACAAATACATGTAATTTATTGAAAATATATATTTAATATGTGTCTTTTTACGCTCTATTCCGTATAGGTAGGAGGTGAAGATACTTTAGGAATAACACTAAATTCAATAGAATATTATGACACATATTCGAAAGTATGGGCCGAAATAGAAGAGCCAATGCCAACCCCATGGCAATTATGCAGTTTAATAATTCACAACTCTCGTCTATATGTTGTAAGTATGAAATTGTATTTAACTTATTATATACATGTATGGAAATTAATAGATTAATCTATAGGTTTTAGAAAGTTACAAATTTAATAGGTTTACACAATTTATACTATATTGACACGTAGTGGCGCAGTATATTACGTATTAAATCTGATGTTAGGCTAAATTGATCTTATAATAACAAATTAAACTAAACCCAAAGTTTTAATTGTCCCCAATAGTACCAGTATCGTATTTACCCCAAACAAAACTATCCAACAACTCAACAATCTAATAACCATGACTACCAAATCTAAAAAAAAAAAAAATGTGTAGTTTAAATGTTTTTTATTTCATGTAATTGACTTTTTATTCTATGAAGTTTGGTAGACTTGGAGATTTTAATGTACTATTAAGTAGTATAGAGTGCCATAATGTTCGAGAAAAACGGTGGACTGTTAAACGCGATACCAGCAGCTACTGCTTTAATAGACATAACAAGCAGAGGAAATGATTTATATTTATTTCATCATACCAATAACCAAAGCTGCCAAACCTAAAAAAAAAAAATGTTAATATTACGTTTTATGTTTAATGCAATTGATTTGTTTTCTATGAAGTTCGGTGGTAATGATGGTAAATACTATTTAAGTAGTGCAGTCTACTATAATCTACAAGAAGAATGTTGGACACATTGTAATCCAATGCCAACAGCTACTGATCTAATGGGCATTACAAGTAGAGGAAATGATTTATATTTATTTGGCGGTACCCCTTATTTAAAATCCTAACGTGCTTACAAAATGAACTTAAATAGTTCAAAATGGGATACGCTACCTGATATGATCAACACAAAAATGTATGCAAGTAAGTGAATAATAATAATAATGTTTGAGAAATTTTATCCAAATATATAATTTATTACTTTTATTATTTTCGGATCCATCTTTAGCTCTTTAACGATTCAAACCTATTGCAGTTTTAGAGCGATTGTCAACGTTTTACTCTTGTGACTATAGTGTAGTACTGTGACTATCGCTTTGACACGGCAATTGGTTAAAACCGTCAGTATAAATAATGACAACATGAATAGTTCCGAAAATGATGAAACTAATAGTTTATACTACGAAAGAATTACCTCGTTCATATGATTTATTCAGAAAAATGTATTTTAAAATGCAGATGCCGTTACTATTGAAAACGATTTATTTGTTGTGGGAAAAAATACCGCCTGGTTTTTACCAAAAAAAGATGAAGCTCCTGCCGGAGTCTTATGTGAAAGATATATTGCTGAAAAAAACATATGGCAAGTGATTGAGTCATCAAATATACTATGTGACTATGATCACATAATTTTTCTTAATGCTGCAAGTTTGAATACATTTAATATTGACTTATCATAAAATTGTAAATATAATATACTATGAAATTATAAAAACAAAGTTTGTAAAAAAAAATCAAAATTGAATAATACTGACGGTGAGTATAAATTAAAAATACATATCTATTATACAAGTTGAATTTGTAATATTTTGTCGGTTAATTAAAAAAAAAAGTTGTTGCCGAAACCCACCTCTAATCTTAAAAATACTCCTTAATCTTAATAAATATAACAATTTTTTACCCCTTATAGGGAAATAGAGTTAATGATATTATCTTGGTTTGTCAATGTATATTGGTAGATTATCTAAAAAAATGTATACAAGTTTGTAACTAAACTAGCTACATTAGTCAGTCCAATAGTTAAATAAAATAATTGTTGGTCCAAACATTTAAAGAACCATCATTGTAAAATTGAAATAACTGATTTTGATGGATTAAATTCTCAGTTTTACATTTTCAATAGTACAATATTCCTTTTTCTTTGGTCCACAGAAGAATACTATGTGTCTTATAGATCATAAACCATTGGTTTACGAAACCTAAATTGTATTTTTTCACTGTTTAAAGTTTGCATGAAGGTGTACGATAGCCAATTACAAAAACTTTAGTAATACTGTTTTTGGCTCCTGATAAATCTGAAAATGTTTTTCCCTAAACGACTAAACCATCACTTTCAGTATGCCCAAAATAATCTCTTGTCTATTCTATCAAATTTATCCTGCCATTAAGAAACTCAAATATTTAATTAATATATTTGTAATAAGTTATTATTATATATACTATTAAATCGAACGGCTCTTCGATCACGTTTCCTAGTTTGTGACACTTAAGTTCTATTATTTTTTAAAAGAGTGTCAAAACTGTAGAAGTGAAGCTGTCTAGTCTTTAAATTCAATCGCCTAACAATCATTTCTTATGAAATGTAAATCGATTCCTTATTAAAAACAATTTTAACCTTGTCATAAACAAAATAGTAAAAACTATATTATTCATAATCTTACTAAAGATTTCTCGACATTGTTAAAATGTGTAACATAATTATGTAACTCCGTTTCAATGATATTATTTTTAATATTTGAATAGTAATGGCGTTTTGTGTTTGGTGTATAATTTCAAATGGGTCGTTTTTTTTTCAATGAGCATTTTAAGGTAAACTAAACCTGTTCGGAGAACAACGTGGTCCTTAAAGAGTCGATTTTCGAATTTTAACCTCCTAAAAAACATACCGCATGAAATCCCCTTGAGTATAAAACCTTTTTTTGTATATTTGAGCAATACACGTGCACATTATTTTTCTACTTATTTACTACATTTTTAGACGTTGAAGAGGCCCTCGGTTGTTTTCAATTTTTAACAAAGTCTAAATAACGTAACCGTTTTAATAGCAGTAGTAAACATAATTATTTATTTTTTGGAAATTTATTGTAAATTATAATAATTAATTATCCGTAAAAAAAGGTAGTTTAATTAAAGAATACATAATGTGGGTTTTAAAATCGTTTCCATCATTTCTTTGGATTTGGAAACGTGTTAATAATTATAAAACATAAGTTTTCAGACTTGTCAATGGCCAATATTGTTTAATAGGCTGTATCGAGTATTTTTTAACAGTAACATTATTTTTTAGATAAAAACGAATTATATTTATTTTTATTAAAATAACATTTTTTTTTTGTAACATTTTGGGTTTTTGCAATGTACCATACTGCTTATAATTATTTCGGTTTCTTAATTTTTTATTAATTTACAATATGAAATATAAACATATATTTTATAAGATTAAATTGAAAATCTATTCATTTGCTGTTAAAACGAAATAGTTTTTGTGTTTTTCGCAGTTGTTGTTGCTGTAATTGTTCTTATTTGTACAATTTTTTCGAATACGAAAATATTTCACTGTAAAACATTTTTTTTATTTTTTTTTTATCGATTTACTACCAATAATTTTTATAACTTTATGCTTATTGTCGTTTTCAAGTTGCCACAGTATTTTCTGTCCTTGAAAATGATATATCCGTTGGAATAAATACAAAACCAATTTTACATGTACATTATACAGTAAAAAAACTACGGTTAAAAAAATCTAATAAAGAAAACTTTTCCACCACCTAAAAATGTTTACCGGTCATTTTAAAACCTTTTCAAAAATTCTATGATATGGTTTTATCATTTTCGGTACTTGTCTAAATAATAATTGTATAATATATATTTTCTTACTCAGAAGCGTCTTAAAAACATGTTTTAAGTTGTGTTATTTTTTTTGAAATAAGAGGAAAACATATTTTAATGAGAGGTTATCCATGCTTTTTTAAACAGTTACTTACAGTTAGCCATACACCAATGCACTAAATAAGAAATGTATCGAAAAACAAAAACAACATCTATGAAATCGGCGTAGTGATGTTATATTTTGAAGTCTTCAAAGTTTACACGATTTTGATTATTATTATATTTATTTTGGGACTATTTATTTTTTACTTGAGCAATTATAAAAGTAGGACAATTGTCAGTATTCCGACCAAGCCTACCCAATCCCCCCCCCTTGGTTCAATTATAATAAGGGTGGTATATTTATAGTGCTTATAACCGTAAAAAAACTAGATCCGCCTCTGGCTCCGAGCCCTAAAGTATTTTATTATTTTATTAGATCCCGCCCATTATTTCCTCGCTATTTCCTGTTCTGTTAAAGTAATGCAGTTTCTTTCCAGGTGCCAGGTAACCCTGAGATCACTAAAGACGAGTTGATTCCATTGATAGCTCAACTTTATCTCTTCCCGATCTACATGGACTTGTCATCCACAGTTAGAACATTTTTCAGCAGTACCAAAAAAAAAAAAAATTGTTTACAAGTGAGGCAAATGTGAAATGGTCCTCCTTTCCTCCCGACCTTTCTAATATGCCATCTTGGCAGCCCTAACATCAGCCCATAGGCGCAATTTCAATTTTTAACTCGGGGGGAGCTGGACATTTTTTTAAGTATATATATATATAAGTAAATATATTTTTGTATTTTAAAATTGTACGCATAACTCAATTTTTTGGGGGGGATAATCCCACCCTAGCCCCCCCCCCCTAGCATTTGCGCCTATGCATCAGTCCCTGGCCTTGGTTACACATCATATCCTAATGGCTTTTCCATTGAAACATATGTGCATAACTTTTTGTATTGTATTTAATTATATTTATATTTGGTTACAACCTAAAAACATAGGATGGTATTACAACTTATGACGTTGTTTAATAAAGGCCAATTA